GAAAAAGTTAACCAACAAAATTGTACAAATTAGTGCAAAGTTTTGTAGGTCTAAAGTCTACTTAGGTCTACTGAACTTACTAATTTGTGCAAATCCCTTACAATATTTTTTACGGATATATGGTATGCACTCTAGCACTCAACCCTTTTTGAAATAGCTGTATTCGTGTTACGTTGTGTAATATTTGTTCCGTTATAATCTCTTGCAGTGCTCAAGTGTTTCAGGGTGCCAAGTGCAGTATGTGTTCTCGACCATTAGACCTACCAGCCGTCCATTTTCTTTGCCAGCATTCTTTTCATCAGCTGTGAGTATATCTGTATAACAACTTATAATGTTATAGCATATCTCCAGTAGAGTGGATGGTACGATACACTATGGCTCTTTCTCGGTACGAAAACGCGTTTGTCGTTTTCTATGAAATGCGTGTTAGTAAGAGGTTTTGCCAATGGAACGAACATTTTTGTATTATGTCATCAGACGACAAAAAAATATATGAAATAAAAAAATAAATTTCTTTATTTAAGTGTCTATTTGTTCTAGCGCCTTCGCACTAACTGGGGACACTTTTCACTCACACACACACTACCACTACATTCAATGTTCCATGCACACAACGCTCAACTCAATGTGAGGCAATCTAGTGTGTAAAGTGTTGCTAAAGTAAGCCTGATCTCCCTGATCAGTATTCCATTTTAAGATAAATTATGATATTTATATTACCAGGTGCTTTGAAAGCTATGCAGATAATGATAACGAGTGCCCCATCTGTGCTCCGGAAAACAAGTATGTTCTTTTCCAAATTTCTTTCGAGAATACTTACACCACCACGCCACACCCACATCTATCGTGTCTTTGCTACTCTACACCAAGTGTATAGACCTTTTGATTGGGGGCCCCAAAAAACTGGCGAAACCAAGATGGCAGAACGGGAGGTCAGTTTTGGGTAAAAGAAGCAGAGTATAATTGAATAATTTCGATGATAAATACAAACATGACAGATTAATCTCACCAGATATCACACGCATTTGTAAGCATCTCACAATAATTAGCTACACGATCAAGACATTGTGCATGTACTACAATAAGAGATGTATTTAATCCTCCCGCAATCCTTTTCTTTTCTTGCTGTTATAGAAAAGTCCTTGATATCATACGAACACAAGAACAAACCAAAGACCTTCACGAGCAGTTCCACAACCAAGTAAGTTCACTACAGGCGGCCCAGATTTACATCTTAGGGGGTGAGAAAACAGAGAATTTATAAACCAGATTTAAATTCGCCTTTTAACACTTTCTGATGGGACACGGGATGTTGTAGTGCTGATGATTTGCATTCATTCCCAAGAAAACCAAAAGGCCATAGCATAACGACGTACTGTAAATGTTTTGTCAAATACTGTACTACCAAAATGAATGAACATCTAACATGCAGGACATCAATGAAGACAGAAAAAATAGCGCCCGTGCTGTGTGCAATTTCAAAGCACGCACTCGGGGGTTAGATAGAACACGAGAGAAGTGTTAGAATGGTTAGGAGAAGCACGACGCATAGCGCGTGTGGGCGCCCGTCCTGTGTGCTGTCATAAAGCCATTTCCTCCAACCAATCGGAACCCGCCAGATTTATAAAATTTATTTTGTAATGGTCTTTCAGGAAAGAAAAAGAAAAACAAGGAAAAAAATATTTCGTAAAGACGCGTTTCTTGTTTCTAACTTTTTTTTGTCAATGTATTACATTTGTGTACCAGGTAGTGTTATGTAGTCTTGTACAAATACTTTCCATGGCAATTAACTGTGTGTTTCTGCATAATAGTTGGAGCGAGCACCTAATGGTTTCTCAGTCGTTGCTGATTATTTTGGACGTGGTGTATTCAACAAGGTATCATTCTTAAATTAAAGCTTGCGTAGTGCACTAACTTAGGTTTCTAATCAAAGCTTAAAAGCTTTCTTTTATAAAATACAAATTACAATAACCGTTATGTTGGATAGGAATGACGCAAGTGAAAGTGTGCGCGCGTGCTGTGTGTTCTCATAAAGCACTCGCAGCCAACCAATCAGAACGCGATACTTCTAACAGTTATTTTATGAATCCTTTAACACATGCAGGTGTAAATGATCATGCAATGCTTACAATAATGTTGTTGTAACGTCAAAATTAAGATACTAGCATTTTTAATTAATTTACATTTCAGGTAACCTTGGTAACCACTGGTCAAGGTCGTGGTGCTCCCTTACAGATTACAGAAAGGGATCGTGCTCATTTGTTACAGTGAACGCAATACTGAAGTGGTGTTGATAAATGTAGACATTTTAAAGATTAAGTAGTAGTCTTTATATTAAAAAATAATTCAGGCAACACTCTAAAAAGAAGATCTCTARCCCTATTGTTTTATAGGAACTTTTGTGTTAGTAAATAATCCATGAATAGTATACAATAAGAAGAAATGCAAAAAGAAAGAGAGAAAAAAAGAAAGGAAAGGAAAGGAAAGAAGGTAGAAAAAAAAGGGAGAAAGAAAAGGGAGAAAGAAAAGGGAGAAAGAAAAGGGAGAAAGAACGAAATAATGAAAGAATAAATAAAGAGAGAGAGAGAGAGAGAGAGAGAGAGAGAGAGAGAGAGAGAGAGANGAGAGAGAGAGAGAGAGAGAGAGAGAGAGAGAGAGAGAGAGAGAGACTATAACATAGATAATAGCTAAAAATGTCTTCCAATATGAGCTGTTAAGTGAACCACTCTAACTATAGCTCTCTATTTCAAACCTTAATTAACCTTTTTTATGACACTTATCATGAGTTACATGTCTACTCACCCAAGAGAGAAAAAAATGCCACCAAAACATCCATTTAAGATGGACTGGAATCCCACTCAAGATGGGAATCAAAGGCAGATACAGGAAGTTCCAATAAGATGGGGGGAGGGGAGGGCTAGTTATGACAAAATACTATGGATATCAGCGAACTGCCGAACCGAGACAAAAAAAAATGTAGTTCTGCTTCTAGTTCTAAAATAATCTTATACACAAAAAGTTAAAGAATTTCTATGATTCTATCACGGGTAGATATTTGCTGCAGGAAAAAATAAAATAAAATTTAATCAACATTTAACGCTCAATCATTTAGATAGCATTTTTGATAGCGCGGCCTCTGGGAACGAGAAGTATAGTGGAAGAGGCGCATTCTGGTCTAGCTTGGGTATAAAACGTTTTGAAGGGGAGGAATTAAAGTTAAGGTTATTTTGATGTATTAATCTATCTTATTTTTATTTATTTTTTTACAATTCTGTGAAGTTTTGGGCGGTAGAAAATTTGAAAACGTAAGGTTTCCAACGTGGAATGAGGATTTGGCTTTTTGTATTGGGTTCCCTGTGCTACTATTAGTTTTGAGAACTTGGCGTGTCTCATATAATGCATAGCGTGCTTCAGGTGTTTGGTAAAACAATGCTCAAAAAGGGTCCATAACAGATCAACAAAAGGAGTTATCCTTAGTTATTACTCTATTCTCCTCTACAAAAGCCAAAAATTATGGATTCATGAAGAAAGATTGTGAAAATATCTTGAAAAATTAAGCTCAATTTTTAGTTCCTTCAACAACAAAGATGGCGGTGGTTGTTGAACCGTTACCTGCTTACAGCCAACTAGACGAAATAATAAAAGAAGTAGCCAGAGATTACTCAAAGATATACCTTGAACAGGATATTGCATTCACAAAGAACACTTTAGGAGGGAATTTTTTGAAACTACCACATGATGATATTTTTCCATACTTACAAGAACTTAGGGATCAAGGCAGGATAACTCCTCAAAAGACTGGCTTCCTGGAGTTCTACGCTAAAGATAAACCAAGCATCGTAGAGAGGATGGAGAGCTTAAAGAAGCAAAGTATGAAGGAGAAAGAAAACGAGATTGAGTTTATCGGGAGAGAAAATGATGTAAGTGCTGTTGTTGATAATTTGACAAATGGGACGACAATGATTATGACCCTTTATGGAGACGCTGGTGTCGGCAAAACTACCTTAGCAGATAAAGTTGTAGAATTCTTAACATCTCAAAACCAAGTGGCAATAAAAAAGAAAGTTGATTTGCGAAATATGGATAGCCAAAAGGAAGTATGTCTTGCCATTTTACATGCTCTGGATTCCAAAAAGGTTCTAAACCCTTGTATGGAATTTGTGTATGAGGCCATTGAAAATTTAGAGAAGAGTACCATCTTGATTCTTGATAATGCTGAAGAGGTGTTATCTCAGCTATCGTTGCAGGAAAGCAAGGCTTCTTTTACTCAGATTTTGAGGGGAATGGCTGAACACATTAACAAAAGCAGAAAATTAACAATATTACTAACATCACGCATCCCCTTACCAGATGAAATAAATGGATTTGTTAACTACAAGGTTAATTCATTGGATGAGGCTAAATCTGCTACGGTTTTGGAAAAGTCAAACCTCTCGCTTTCTCCCGAAGAGAAGAATGAAATCAGTAAGCTTTGCAAAAACAATCCACTGAAATTGAATCTAGTTGCAGGGCTGATGCAAGAAAGTCTCCTAAATATTGAACACTTGAAAAAAGTACTAAACGCCTTAGAAGAACCAGCTGAAAAAGAAAAAGCAACTGAAAAAGAGGAAGACATATATGCTAATGCTTACGATAACAATATTTTTAGTGAAGTCTTTGAAAATCCTTTCACGCCAGAGCTCAAGAAGGCAACCATTAAGCTGTCACTATTTCAAGGGCCGTTTACCATTGAAGATGCAGTAAAGATGATTAAACAATCTAAAGATGAAACGAAGTTTTATCTTGATATACTAACGGTGCGAAAATTTCTAACGAATATTGATCAAACAACATACGAAATGCACCCATCAATCAATGAGTTCATGATAAGTCAATCCCAGAAAGAAAACTATGAGGACATAATTACCGATGCTAAAGAGACATTCTTCAAGAATTACCTGGAAAAATCAAAGCAAATTGCTCAGCTTCTTGACGAGGATTATGTAAGAGCATATTCCCTCATTGAAAAAGAGAGGTTAAACTTAAAACTTGCAATTGAGATATCATTTGAAAGAGGGTTCTTGTACTTTTCAAGTGATTACAGTGAATCTACCATTCTAGCAGACCTGTTTCTGATTTTGATTCCTGGTCTAGAGAGAGAAAAGCTGTTCAGAGAATGGAGCGCAATTGCAGAGAAGAAGGGTATGTTTGAGAAACTTTTAGAAGTACAGTATGTTAAGATTTCGGCTCTTTCTTGGTGTTGCGGGGAACCTAAGCCAGGAAGGCAATAAAGCAAGCAGAGAACAATGTGTTTTGGGCTAAAAAATACCCTGTACAATAAAGCAGTACACCAAGAAAGACCCTAGATTTAATACATTCATTTTATGTATGCTTGTATGTACTACTCAATTTCAGACTGTTCATTTTTAATTTGGGAGGGAGTGAAAGGGGTTTGTTGACCAGAACATAACTGCAACTCGCACAATAAATCTGAAATCTGACTCCTCACCTCCATTGTTGCATAAAAATACCCCCTCCATTGTTCCTCTTAGGCCTGTACACCGATCGTGGGGTATAGGTCATCAACAACATCTGGACACCACAGAGCCCTGTCCTTCACCTTGTCCTCTAGCTGTTTCCAGGTATGCCCTGGCAATATGCCCCCTCCATTCACAAAATTCTTTTTATTATAATTATAAAATTTTTTATTGAGCCCTCGTTTGTTTGATTCCTGGCACTCTTAAGCCTGTCTTTTAATGACCCAAAAAATGTCCACTGCCCCTTAAGAAATGAAGTCTATTAATTAATTAATTCATCATCTTGTTGTTTTCATCATCTGTTTATTAGGTGAGTGGATTTGTTATACCATTCTAGTATGCATGCATATACAAGTTCTACTTGAGAAGACAGCTGGGAAGTCCGAAGCAAGGAAACTTTTGGGAAAAGCCAAAGAAGCTCTCAATAAACTAAGTGACAAAACCCTTGATGCATATCAACTAGCCAAGAGCAGCTATCTCTATGCCAAAGGAGAAATGCTATATTCTGACTGTGCAAGTAAGGGCAGAGAGGTTTGCGGAAAGGCTGAGTGGAGAGAAGTTTTGGATTTTTACCAACAAAGCTTAAAAATCAGAGAAGAGTTGCTCAAGGATCACACCGACACTGCTCGCACCCTTAATGCTATTGGAAACTGCTTTATGTACTTGGAGGAGCTCGAGAAAGCATGTGAATACTACACTAGAGCTCTTGAAATGAGACAGCGGCTGAGTGGGCAACAGCATGTGGATATGCCAGTGTATATTAATCAAATCGCCGCTACTCATGAACAAATGGGAAGCAAGCTGAAGAAGCAAGCTGAAGATGCTAATCTCTACTACAGGAAAGGACTGACGGAAAAGTATATTCAGGAGTTTAACGAAGCTCTAAAAAAGTACCAAGAGGCTTTGGATTTGGAGAAAAAGCTTCATATTTCAGGTTAGAAGAGATAACTAGCTAAAAACTAGTATGAGCTAAGTCACTGACGTTTTGGACGCTAGTCCTTYGTTGTAGTAAAAGAGTTAAAAAAAAAAAGAGGCTCTTTTACTCCAACGAAGAACTACTGTAATGTCTGAAATGTCAGTTTTTTCATCTTTTTACGGTGTATAATTTACCTTTTTATTATTATATTTTCATTAATTACTGTTTATATTTCAGGTTACATCAATACAGCCATCTTCTACCGGAACATGAGCAACACCTACTCCTATCTAGAAGATTATGAATCATCACTGAGGACTGCCAAGAAAGCATTGTTTGTCAGGAAAAAGTTACTGGGTATTGATTCTGACACTATAAGGAGTTACTACCAGGTGGGGCTTGCTTATGAACAACTTGAAGACATTGACAAAGCTCTCAAGTATTTCTACAAGGCCTATATGATGGAAAAAGCATTACCTGAAGGGGAAACAAGCCCAGTTAGGGACAGAGTGATCAAGAAGATTGAAAACAATGGTGGCAGTACTGAAGAAGCAGAGTTGGAAGATAAAAGACATGAAGAGGCTTTGCAGAAGGGCTCTTTGGATGATGACGTTTTGGTAAGTAATTAAATTTAAATAAGTAAGAGCAAATAAGTTAGTGCAAAATTGTTTTCCAATTTTTTTTTTGAATTTTTTTCAAATAAGGCATGTCTCATAGTATAACTGAATTTATTTCTCAGAATTTGTTTTTTGTTTTTCACTTTAACCCTTTGACTACTAAGGTCCAACCTCATTATTCTGCCTGTGTTCCTAAAGCTATTCAGAAAGTTGACCAAGAATTGTGCCCACAATCATTTATGTGAAGTTTCTGGATTTTGAGTGAATAATACCTTAAGTATGACAACTGAACAATAGGTTACAGTAGGGTATTTTCTTGGGTGGACACAGGCTGATGAAGCACAATGATAATTTTTGGCCTGTTTTGGCCAACTCAGGAAAATCAGCAGATTTTGTAATGGCCTGATTTGGCCTTTTTAGTAGTCAAAGGGTTAAACCATTTCTATTTAGCTTGTGAACATTACTAACTTTGGAGATTCAAAGGTGCTATAGTGGTAGTGGTAGGGAGTTCACTCACATCTAGGGTCATTGGGTTTGATTCCTGAACTTGAGTCATCCCATGTGACTAGAGGGTAAAGGCCTCTCCCTTGATTCTTAAATTTTTTTGTTCTCCGATTTCTCCTTGTTTTCTTCCTTCTGCAACATGCAACTACAGCCTGTAGCTAACTTCCATGCCCAAGCTTATATCATTATAGAGACCTTTGTATCAGGGTTAGATCAAACTGTGGTTTTAATTTTTTTCTAATATACTGTACATTGATTACTAAATGGCAAAGTTTATCTAACTGAAATTTTTTTAAGACTTCAGAAGATGAAGAGGAGGAGGAGGAGGAGGAGGAGGAGGAGAAGGAGGAAGGATCATCAAAGGAGGAATGGCAGGAAGAAAAATCATTATCATCAGTGGATGATACAGCAGCTCATCTGGATTATGTAACAGGTGCAGTTGTAAATGAATGGGACTTATTCTTGTTCAATCTACATACTGTACAGTACATCCTGGAGGAACAGGTTGGAAAAAAGCTTAGCTTTAACTGTTATATCCTCAGTAAATATAGTGTTATATCACCATCATCATCATCATTATAATTATGATACTAAGAACCTTACTATGCATCCTCATTTATGACTGGAAAGTAATTAGGCATTAGAACTAAATGAATGACCAAACTGGTTTTCTCCAGGGACCCCTGTCCAGACAACAGATCAAGGACTTTCAGGGACCACTGTCCAGACAACAGATCAAGGACCTTCAGGGACCACAGTCCAGACAACAGATCAGGTACCTTCATGGACCACTGGCCAGACAACAGATCAGAAATCTTCAGAGACCACTCAAGAAGAAAGAGAGACAATTGATGTTGCAGACATTGAAATAGAAGAAAGAGTGGTTTCTGACAGGTACATGTATGGTTTTTTTAAACATGACGAATAACAATCTATTAGAGTGATACCTTTACTCAGTGGACACCAGGCAAGGACCTGAGGGTGTCTGCTTATAGAGGTACCACTGTATTTATCGTAAAGCAAACCTCTATTCAGCTGACACCTTTTATTAGACACCTAGCTAGTTGCATCATGGTCCCAAACTTTTTTTCCTATATTTTTTATAACGTACCTCTTGAGGCCAACACCTATTTTTCAGAGGACACCAGGCAAAGTCCAGATTGAAGTTGTCCACTTAATAATATGTCAGATCATGAGTAGACTTGTTTATTGGTTCTCAGGCAAGTCATTGGAGCAAAAGGCTGTCAGTGGGATATCAAGGAAACTGGAGTTCGTATCTTGTTCATGCCTGGAACAGTACCATCAGATACCAGTATTCCCTGCCATGTGTGCAAAGAACCAGAAAATCATCTCCCATTAGAACCAACAGAATCTCTCGTCAGTATGGTAGTGGCATTAGATGCAGACAACCCTGTCTTTGATAAGGAAATTGGTCTTCTTATTCCACACAGTGGATCCATGAAGACTAAAGGATACGAGGTGGCAGTTAGAGAATATAAGGAAAATTTAGGGATCTGGGAGGAAGTGGATGACTTTATCAACATCCAACACGAATCAGGTAGATATGTTTAATGATAGGACCTTTTAGCTTGGGTGGGTGTTATATTTTCCCATTTCAGTCCACACGTCATTACCCAGAGTATTTCTTTGTTTAACTATTGCATATGAGATGACATATGATAACGAATATGGATGCAACTCAAACAAAGAGTCTTATTGTCAAGAGAATGACACGTGGTCTGAAGTGGGAAATTATATAATTATGCATTGGGTGATCAGGACACGACTAACTCACAGAAATTGAATTGGAATTTAGCATGTTAGGTTTTGAGGAGGGAGGAAAACTGGAGAACCCAGAGAAGAACATTCTAATCAAGAGAGAAACCTCAACAAACTCAGTTCTTTTGTGATGCCAAGTCCAGAAATCGAGACCCCAGAGGTGTTATTGTAGGGAGGCAAATACCCTACCACTTCGCTACCTCTGATTCTACTCTATTCCCATGAATTCAACAGCCTATCCCTGTCTGGAGGCATAAGACTAATGTACTAAAAAACACTCATGATTGTAAGCTGCACGGCTGCTAAAAGTAACTTAATATGCAGCCTGTAAAGCCCTCCACTGGTCATAAATGTAAAGCGCATTGAGACGTTGCATAGATGCGCTATATAAGAACCTCCCATTATTATTACAACAAAGCTTTTCCTTTTATTGTTTCAGATGTGCAAAACTTAGCAAACGAATTCACTAAACAACTGGGAAGTATAAATCTACCCGCAGTACTGCTGACCAGAAAGAACTGCAGTACTGTTTGTGTCACAAGTCGTTTGGTTAAAGACGTCCTCATTGCTAGACCAGCTGGCAGTACCCTGGTGTCATCGGTGTTCCCTGAGGTTCAACTGGTGTTGGAGAAGAACACTGTGAAAAAGAATACGTCAATAGATATGAAAGTAAGGCTAGCTGGCTTCACAAACCCTTGAGAGAATTTGATAGCCATCAGTAGAACTCCTTAATCATCCTGCATGGGCCAAAAGGGGTCCTTTCTCAGTTACCTGTGTCACTGGATGAGTTATTTCTACCAGTATTTCCTGGTATTGACCAATCACCTGGAAAATCGATTACCTTCCTGGATACAGGTCGTGGGCTTAATTACCCAGTCACACCAACTCAGGGCCGGCTTCAAACCATGTAGAAGGTCTAATATTTTGTGTATCATCTGCGTTTTTTTACATTTATTCACCCAAGCTTTCGAGCCTTTAATCCATCTTCAGGTATATAAAGGGTGACAATATTTTAGTTACATAAACAATGTGTACAAGATAACCATAAGCTTGTGCTATTGGCTTTGTATACTTTTATCAGAGAAAGGTTACTGTGACCTTCAAGGCTTATCGGCTAACTGAGGACACGTGTATAAGTTGGAGGCTTCTTCTGACCTCACTACCATCCTATATTTATATAATCTGCTTTGTCACTATCTTACCCCCCCTCCCCCTCCCCCTCCCCTTATGATAGGCAACATTTTTATAAAGATAGCCAGTTCCAAAGCTAGATCAGTAACCTCCCTGCCAATACAAGGCTCACTTTCCTGGTTGACAGAGGATAGGTAACCTTCTTGACTTCTTGACTCAGTCTCGCTTCTTTACACAGCTTTTTTTCCCTTGTTCTTTTCGAGGTCCATCCACTTCCAGATTTCACCGTTTTTAACTCACCCAGTCTTAGCTGTGGTCCAGTTCTTTACCTTCAAACTAGCCAGACTGAAACCATCGATATCCTTAAACCAATACGAATAACTCTTCCTCATCCCCTTACGTGGTATGGCAAGCACATTGAAGAGGATTCGAGGCGCGGTAAGGTGCGGATTCTCTACAATAGACATTCCGGAAATAGCGACATAGAATGGAAGGACATTACAGATAATCCAGCCACAAATCTGTCTGTAGATGGACAGAAAATCTCTCTCCAGGTGCGACATTTTTCCATGTAAGTTATATTTTGGTGTTCTTGATTTAAGACCCATACATTTCAAATCCTTTACATTTAATTTATCAAACCTTGAAACTAGCTCTGGGCTGATTAAAGTCAGGGCACGGCTAACTCACAGATCGAACCCTAAAATAACCTCTGAACTGATTAAAGTCAGGGCACAGTTAACTCACAGATCAAACCCTGAAACAACCTCTGGGCTAATGTAAGTCAGAACACAGTTAACTCACAGATCAAACCTCGGGACTGATTGAAGACAGGACATGGCTAACTCACAAATTGAATGGAAATTGAGTGTGTTTGCGGAGGGAGGGAAATTGGAGAACCCAGAAAGACCCTCAAATCAAGGGAGAGACCTAAAGAATTCTACTCACACATGATGTCAATTCTGGGAATCGCAACCGCTACTCCACATTTGACTCCAAAGACATACAGTATTGTCTTTTTAAATATTTACGAACTTCACAAAAAATCAAATGAAAAGCTGTAGTTTATTTATACAACATAAATGAGATTCCAAGTCATCATAATTGAAAGCATCCCCTGGAAGTGTTTTAAGCGCAAAAACGACATCGGCTCCCCTTTTCACTACCCAAATTATGCGTCGTCAATCGGTCAAGACCACCTAGCCCTGTTTTCATCTCCTTTCGTGATTACCTAAATCTCTGCCCCTAACCCCTCCGCATAAGAAACTATCAGTTGACTCTTTTCTCCCCTCTTTTTATCATCCACAGGTTCTGGCCCATCTGGATTTCAGACATCAAACAAGATTTCCAGAAACTCCTAATCAAAGCCAAAGAACAGTTTGCCAGCATTTGTCGTTTTTCGCCTTTCAGCGCTCAATTTTGCGTGAAGTGTAGGCCTCGTAACCATAAGGGCCAAGCTGTCCTCGCATACACTGCAGTGCCAACCCATCTAGTGAAGCAGCATAGGAGGAATCGCAATGACGATTCCGAAGAGGACTTGTACGATGGAGAGGAAATTCAGGTTGATTTGACCGGTCCAATACAAAGATACCCGACGAAGGACTCGGACGACTCGCCGTTTTACATCAAGTAAGGACAACCACGTCTCTGGAATGTTTTTTTCAGGCTATTTGATTGGCTGATTATCGAGAGTTTCAATGGTTCTGCGGAACACATAAAAGTTATGCTGCCACATAAGTCGTCCTCTCATCTTAATTAAATAGCGTTTGCCTTTTTGATGATTGATGATGATTTATGAATTTATATACCCCCCTCCAGTAGAATAAAACTTTTCCTGCCCCCCCTATATAGAGCAGCTAAACTTTTTTTGCCCCATCCTACCCAATCACCATCCCCCCTCCCTCCCCATAAATAATGAACAGTCCCTAATCATTACTTTTTCAGACATGTTTTTTCTTCATATCAGGAATTTCTGTTCATGTATCTTATAACACACTCAACAAAATTACTCGATTCTGATTGGTCAAGAGGAGTACAATTAAATCCAAAACTGTACTCTGTAGAGTCCCAATTAAGTTGCTCAGTTTTGTGGAGTGTATTGTAAACAAAAAATCGCACAATCTTCTCGTACCATTCTGAATTTATAGATACTCGTGATGTTGCTCACAACGTAACAGCCCTATAATGCATAGTTTTCAAAAACCTGCAGAGAAAAGTTTATTGTCATGGTATAACCTTGTGTAGTTGAAAAGATCTGTCCAAATTGTGGTTTTTTGTTACGCAGCGGGTAGGGATGCGTGGATTTAACAATATATATTTCCGCAAATTGACTCTTCTTCTGTTGAACTCTCTTGGAATTTTAGGAAAAGCCCTCAAAGCAACCAACAAGCAACTCTACCCACATATATGATGCCGATTCCGGGATTCGTACCCGGGTCGCATTGGGGAGTGACGAGCACTATCTATGCAAAAGAATTAATTATCGTTCTTATGATGTTGTTCAGGTTTAGCTCACAGAAAGAGAAACAAAAGTCGATGGATGTGGAAATAGAAGATGAAGATGGGATGTTTAGGTGTCGTTTCTTGAGAGTCTTGGTCGATCACCAATGTATTTGTGAAATCCCTTTCGATGTACCACCTGTAAAACAGGTAAGTTCTTATGTTTGTGCAATTCATCATCCAACATGGTGGCTATGTTTTTTTTATACCATGTCTTTTGTTGCATCAACCAACGTGGTGGTCATGTCTTTTGTTATATCATCTAACATGGTGGTCATGTCTTTTGTTATATCATCTAACATGGTGGT